CCCCTTCAATCCACCCCCCAATCCCACCTCCTCCAAGGCAAGGTACCCACATTTCTTAATTCCATCATCATTATTTTAAAAGATTTCTAGTTTACACAGGGGGAAAGTTATATTTGCTAATTTTAATGATAAGAAATCATTGTCCTCTTCAACTTCTAGTTTTACTTCTTGATGATACTAGCTAAACTTTACATGTTTTTCATCCTCCTAAATGTCTCCTTTTAAAATCTTCTGTGTAGATAGGATTATAATATCAACTTAACTGTGTTGAAAAGTTTCCAGCAAAGCCAGGTCCCACATTGTAAGGCACTTTGAGCCCTCCCTTCCAGCTGCTGTCAGGGGGTGCTGGGCCACCCATGTGTCTGTTGGACATTAAAAAAAAATATTAGTTGGATATACTTTAATATAGCAAGTCAAAATACCAAGTAATCTATTGTCTCTGGCATCTTCTGCTAATAGTTTCTATGAATGAAGAACAGAGCAAAGTGGTTTGCATACAATAGCCATCAACCCTTTCTGCCACCCCTGTAAGGCAGTGTACACACTACCAGTTTTACATTGCAGATGAGGAATGTGAGGACAAAAGTGAATTCATAGCAATGGCCAAAGTTAAGGTGGTAAGAGGTACAGTTGATATTCTAATTTCTTACAAGAACCCAAAAATTGTGTTACTAATTATGCAATGGTAAACCATGTGTTTCTTGTGCTTTTTCTTTTTGTTTTATGTTTGTTTCTTTTCTTTGTTTTATTCTTTAAAAAAAACAGGAGTGAAAGAAGGCATGGAATTGAATGGGTAATGTGTTGGAGAGGACCTTGGAAAATCATGATCAGAATATACTGTTTGAAAAATTTTGTTTCAATTGGAAATAATACAACTCTGGGAGATGAAGAGATAGCTCATTGGTTAAGAGAACTTGTTCTTCTTGCAGAGAGCCTTAATTTTGTTCCCATGACCCACAACTTGGCTCACAAGCATTTGTAACTCTAGTTCCAAAGGATCTGATGCCTTCACCTGACCTCTATGACAATCAGGCATGTAGATGGCACACATACATACATGCAAGTAAAACAACTGTATACACAAATTTTAAAAATCTTACAAATAAAATAAAAAATATGTCTGGGCATAATTTGGCAGCTGTATTGAGGAAGTGGCAACAGTTGTGAATGCATGCATGAGTCCCACACAACATCAAATCAGAGGGAATCACAGTGTGAAGTTGTGAGGAGGCCCAAGTGGCTTATTCTTATTTCAGGAACTATTGCAATTGATTGTGGCTGGGAGAGATAGAGTTGGTATTCTTTAGCAATGTGACTCCAGAGCAACTATGTATGCTTTTACAATCTATGTACATACTGAGAGCCCTAAATGAACTCTGTGCATTTAAAGAATAAAAATAATAAAAGCGCACATGAAGTTTGGATGGGATAGTAGTAGTGGGATAGGGGAGGACCTGGAAGGGAGAGGATGGGGGTGGTGTTTCACCAAAACACAGTATTTGAATGAATGAAATTCTCAGTCAACAAAAAACAAAAATGATTAAGATTATCTCTTCCTAGAAAATATTACAAAGTGTAATCTCTTTTTAAAGCTTTATGAATGAGTAAATTTGCCCTCTCTTTTTTCCCTATCTCATCAGTTAGTTTGGCTAATAGACAGAATTCCAGAAAAAGTACTATAAAATATATTTAATTTATTTTTCACTACAAAGCATATAGTGTGCTGAGGAGATCCTTGGTTGGTAAATATTTGCTGAATAAGCATAAGAATGTGTATTTGGACCTTCAGAGATTCTATGAAAGCTAAGTGAAATGACGTGTCAGTATCCTGAGTAATGTGGAATAGGGAGACAGGTGAGTTCTGAGGCATGATGGCGAGTCAGTCTTGTCAAATATTTGAGTTTCAGGTTCAGGGAGAGAGCTTGACTCAAATCAAAAAGGTGGAGATCCACAGAGGTAGACACATAACACTGACCATAAGTTCATGTACAGGAAAGCTTATCCACATACCCACAATATGTACACACAAGAATACAACACAGACACACAACACACAAGCAATTAAATAAAGAGAATAAATGAGGTATGAAAGATATATATACATTGCTAGAAAGTATAATCCATATTCAAAACAACAGAGTATTCAAGATACAAAATACTATAGGACATAAGTGAAATTATACCCATATTTTATTGTGAATAGAATATTTTGCCAAGCATATGTTAATAGAGCTTTTGGAGAAGAAATGGGTAAAAATAAACTTCATTATAAATAGCATGTACACGTAGGTCTATGCTCATACATATAGGCATGTATAGACATAGAAGAGAAACATAAGAAAGGTAGTGACTATACTCCTCACAGTCTCAGCCTGTACCATGAAGAACACATGAACTAGTAATTACACAGACAGCAAATCAATAGAACAAAACAGTTATATGAAAGTCTAACAATGATAAAAGAAACACAAGCATGAGAATAGAAGTTTTAGTCAACAAATGTTACTGATGAATATACTACTCTTGGAAAATTAAAAACTTAAATATTAAAAGACAATGTTAATTCATTTTGAAAATATGTTAGGATTTGACAAATGTTATATACATATAAATAGTCCTAATTTTTAAAATCAGTATGATATAGCTCATTCATTCATCTCATCATTTGCCAAGCATCATTTATTGTTTACTGTGATAAATGTGCTCTGTTCTACTCAACAAGACAAGTATATAGATAGATAGATAGATAGATAGATAGATAGATAGATAGATAGATAGATAGATGATAGATAGATAGATACAATGATCTTTCTGCCTAAATTTATGTCTCTCAGAAGAAAAACATACAACCAACAACAATACAAAACAGAACACTATCAACATTATATTACAGAAACCTCTGCTGCTATAGACCATGTACAAAGAAGTGGTTAAATTAGCCAATGAGATGAGGAACACATTTCTAAATGAGGTTTTACTTCCTCATTTTTAAATAAATAACAAGAAAAGATGAAGGTAATGGCAAAGTGTGAAGAGGAATCCAGGTAAGGAGCATCGAGCAAGAGTAAGGGATGATAGATGATGTGGCTGCTATATAGGAAAATTGTTGTATTTTGAGGGGGAAGCTTACAAATGAGTGGATATTTGCTTCTGGGAAGAAGCAGAGATGTGGTTTCCACAGTCTATCTACTAAATGTTACTAATGTTGGGAATTTCAATAAAAATCACTCTAAAGGGCAATCAGAAGAAAATGAACCATCTAGGTATCTAACAACAAAGGGAATGATATGGTGAGTCTTTATTGTGGTCTGGTTTTGTTTTGAGTCTATATTTAGATTTACAGCCACTGATACTGAAACACCTGAAATGTCCAGCAGATTTTCCTGAACATTCTGCTCAACCCAGACCAACTTCATATTCTTCTCAAGTACAATGAGAATATTTTCTTAAGAAAGGCCACATATTAGGCTGTAACACAAGTCTGAATAAACATAAAAGGTTGAAATCATACATTAATTTAACCCCAACAAAAATATTTTTGCAATAAACAATAGATGGAAACACTAGAAAAGTATATAGAAGAAAAGACATACTTGTGAATATACATATTTAAATAAGTGATCATACTTCCCCTGGCTGAAGGATGGATAGCATGATATTTTCTTCAGTGGGTAGCCACATATAAGCTGTCTTAATATGACTAAATAACTAAAAATAAATTAATAACAAATAAGTAAATAATAAATAAATAACTTGGGCAAGTCACTCATATTCAACTCACTGGAACACAAACAAAAAGAAGGCATGGTAGTAGGAGCGAAAATTGTTGAGATGTGGTTGAGCTGGGACTTGGAGGAAGCTGAATGAGGGAAAAGGAAATGACTAAAATTTATTATATAAATATAAAGAAAGTACAAAATAATTGAAAATTTAAAGGATATATGAATATAATGAAGAGCTATATACTAGTAAATTACACAACCTACATGAAATGAATCAATTCCTAGAAAATTGCACATTCCCAAAACTGGCTCAAGAAGAGAAAATATGATCAGACTACAAGTAAAGGGGGTAAATAGCCATAGACACCTTCCAGAAAGACAATTGGCCTTACTATTTCCTATGGCTTTGTTTTAAAGGCCAAACACCAGTTGTCCAGGTATTCTTCCAAGAAATAGATAAAGGAACATTGACAAATTTATCTTGTGTAGAAAATACCACCGTGACACTGTAATCATAAGAAAATATGATTTTATAAAAGGCTCATAAAACTAGCAAAATTCAAAGGAAATACAAAGTGAGAATGTGAGCCAGGTACTTTTAGATATCACCATATAAGATGTACTTTCATAAAAGCCTGAAAGTGTGTGTGTGTGTGTGTGTGTGTGTGTGTGTGTGTGCTATTCATATATTGGTGAGGAATACTGTAATAAAAATCACTTACACATGTTAGTTCCTTTTTAATTTTTATTTATTTATTTTATTTTTTATATTTTATTTTTTAATTATTCTTCTCTCATATATTACATCCCAACTGAAGTTTCCCCTTACTGTTCTCCTACCAGACCCTAAACCCCCATTTCCCCTCTTCCTTAGATCCACTCTTCCATTTCCCTTCAGAAAAGAGCACACCTCCCAGGGATATCAACCAAACATGGCACATCAAGTAACAGCAAGACAAGGCACCTCCCCTCATATTAAGGCTGGACAAGGCAACACAGTAGGAGGAAAAGGGTCTCAAAAACAGGTAAAAGAGTCATGGGCAGCCCCTGCTTCACTATTAGCAGTTTCTTATCAAAGGAAATCTGTTATGTTTATGTGACTCAAAATTGTACACCAGAGGAAGGAAGAGTATAGTGACAAGAAATTCATACACAGTTATTATAGTGTTTTCTTCTATAACAACAAAAACAAGAAACAACTTCAGTTATCCTTCAACTAGTGAATGGTTAAACAAGCTGCAGTATCATCATGTGTTTTAACAGCTCAGTAATAAAAAAGAAACCTCATGCACAAAACAGACTATTTAGAAGCTAGATGCAATTTTAGATAAATAGCATTTATAATTTTTCAATAAAATAATTATCCTACCTCAGTTAGGATACTGCTAATATTTATCTTTTTATCCAGACCAAAGAATTAGTAGACATGACTAAATAAATCTTATCTCTAATTCTATGAACTTCCATGTGTTCTCTTTCTAATACAAAGAAAATATGGGCTCATTTTAATAGGTTCTATAACTGGAATAATTTAATATAGTGTTTTGAAAAATCTGCTCTTTAACTTAACATATCACAAACATATTGCATGTTATTAAATATTCTTGCCCACTATTATTTTGTATTTTCTTGCTTTGTACAGTATAATAACCAATGACATGCTTGAAGGGGCTAAAGTTTTTCCTCCTTTGAATCCTTCCACTATCACAAGTAATCTTGTAATCATATTCATCTTTAATATAAATGTTTCGACTTCATTTGTCGACACATTTATCTAAATGCAGAGTCCATGGTGCTTGTAAATGTACGACATACTTAATCTTTACCCAAGTGGCACAGTTAACAGTAGAAACCAAAATGATCTGCTATTAGATAGGACACAGCTCCAATTTCTAGATAAAGGGATCCTCACTTGTGAAACTGGTGGCCTTACACTAGGTCATGAAATGCTTTCCCACAGATGTGATAATGAAACAATTAAAACTGCTTTGAAGTCATGCACAATGGAATACCCTTGTAGTTCCAGGATTTGGGAAACTGAGCCAGAATTATTGACAAGATGCTTTTACTCTATCAACTTTACTTTCAGAGAAATTCTTTTCTCTCTCTTCCACAGGGAAGTAAACCATGAAGGGCAAACAGATAGAAGAGAGTGGAATAGGAACAGAGAAAAGCTCAAGAATGAAGTCATAAATGGAACAGAAAAACAGATTAAAAATGGAACATTATTGGCTCTTACATTGTTATTCTGTTCCTCAGAGATAGAAATTTTAAAAATAAGAATGAAAAGATTGATAAATAAGAGATACATCGAGAAAAGGGTAGAGAGAGAGCAGAATAGAAAGCTAGAGAAGATCGGAAAAATGTCCACAGATTCAATGCCATTCTGACATAAGGTAAAGGATAAAGGGAAGGAAGAAAAGGAAAGAAGATGGAATGTCAGTATGATATTTAATTGAGCAAGACTATCAAGTAGTCATCAATCAACAGCCTTGCCTCTAATGAGTACTGTTTTTCCCAGAAAAGCCTATCTTATCATCCTTGACACAATTGGCCACTGCCTGCCTGAGAACAGGGAGATGGGCCTCCCAATATCATGGTTCCAGGAATTATCCATGATTCGCCCTTCAGCTGAAAATCCAGAGTGATAATTTTCATGGCTCTCACATATTAGATAGCCAAACACAAAATAAATTCCAGAATCAGAACCAGAATTATTTAAAACTGTAAAATCATTGCAGATTGCATCCATCACTGAGGATAGATTTCCAAAATTTGAAGATTAAAGTAAAACATTTGAAAAGTCTCTAGAATGAAATACCAAAACAGGCATCTTTTATTTTTTTTCTAGCAAACTTACTCTAGGAGTTTCTGTGCATCATCATATCCAATTGGATGGACAGGAATACTTGGAAGTCCAACAGCCTCTGTCAACTCACGCCTGTAAGCATATTCTGAGAAAAAGAGCATATTTGTCACTAAAAACAGCCTTTTTCAAATGGATTTCTGCAAATGAGATAAAACACATTCTCTCATATATTCTAGAAGTGGTAAAATTCCAGGTGTCAAAAAACATGGAGAAACTGAAACTCACATACATGTTTATGAGAGTATGAAGTCACCTGATGACCTAGAATAACTCTTCTAAAAATGCCAAACACAAAAGTGCTTTATTGAGCACCTCCACTGCTAGTTATTGACCCAAGAAGAGAGGTGAGAGAGGGAATATGCAAAGGGACAGCTCAACTTAAGGGCCATTTGAGGGGCCATGTGGAAACACAACACAGTAGAAGATTCTTAAAATATATACACGATGAAAGAAATCTAAATGGAATCACCTAATTATGGTGGAGACAACGCTCCAACTAGACATCTTTCATCATCAGTGTTTGAAATGGGTTACACATAATTGAGTTGATAGCCAAATGGTCCCATGGGAACCTCCAAACATCCTAGGCTATTGTTCTGGTTATTAGTTGCCCTCCACAAACTAATGGTAAGGCCCTGTTGCTGAAAACAACATTTACAGAGCTCACTGAACATGGAGAAGTTGAGTTGGGGACTATAGAGCCTTCACTCTTACAGATTAGTGTTCATAGTACAGAAAGGTACTTTATGGTGGTATTGTATTTGTACTGAAATGTGATTTTAATTGTTTGTTAATAAATAAAGTTGCCCAGGGGGTCAGAGCTATTAGAGCCATAGAAAGGGCGTGGCAGTGGTGGCGCTTGCCTTTAATCCCAGCTCTTGGTAGGCAGAGCTAGGTAAGTCTCTGTGTGTTCAGGGATACAGCCAGCATTGGAGACACACACCTTTAAGACCTGGAGGGCTGTACTTACAGGCAGTGACGAGGCAGTCATGTGTTTGGGTTTACAACCAATGAGAAGGCAGAACAGAAAGACTATGTAAAGACAAACACACAGGAAGTAGATCTCTTTCAGAGAGGTAGGATCACCGCAAGAGGAAAGGTAAGGTTTTAGCTCTGAGCTCTGACCTCTTGGCTTTCTCTTTTATATTGGTTCTGTGTTTCTTATTTAATAAGACAGTTGGTTACATCTACAGTACTTTATATGAAGAAAGGTAAACACTGACCCAACTATACAAACCATTCAATCTAAAGTAGTGAATGACCTGCTGCAAGAAATGCTAGTGAAATAGAGGCAAAAAGCTTGTGGGAGAAACAAACCAATACCTGATCAGATTTAAAGTCTACTCGATAAATTGGGACCCATCCCTGACACTGACCCTATGGACAAGAACCTGAAATTGAATATACCAGGGAACTAGAACAAAACCAAATACTACTTTTCTGCTATAGGAAAGTAGCAATAAAATGACTCCTAATGACATTTTGCTATACTCTTAGATCAGTGCCTTGCTCAGACAACATCAGAGAAGGTTCCTTCTATAGCAGATGGGAACAAAAACAATGACCCACAATGGGAAAGTATGCAGAGATTGAGAGAACTTAGAACATTCAATCCTAAAATGGATGTCTACAACACATCACATTCCTTCCTTTGGGGATCAGAAAATCTTTGGGAAGCAGAGGCAGAAAATATTTAAGAGCAGAGGTGATGAAGAACATCAAGAAAACAAGGCGTTCGAAACAGAAGGTGATCCATATATAAACTCACAGAGACTGTGGCAGCATACACAGGGCCTTCACAAGTCTGTTACAGATGAGGTCTTAGGGCTGAAAGGAGAAGTGGGCAAAAGCTCCCATCTCTAGACTAGCTGTTATCTCCAATTGATAACCAAACACAACGAAAAGTTAGTTTTCTCCAAGGGAATTTCACTGGGAATACAAGGCACTCTCAAGGATAGGCTTTATGCCTAGTAGTAAATGGCCAACAGAAAACATACTCAGTGGCATCTCTGTAGGTTCTTGGTCTCATAATCTTTTTTCAGAAGATTTTTTTTTACCCTACCAGCCTGTTGCATGTATTCTATTGCTTCCAGTTTTTTGTCTTTTATGGAATTCCTGTGTGGCTAATGTTTGTGTCTCTGCATCTATATGTGTTTTTGTTATTTTTCTTTGGCTCTTTTTCTTCTGTTTTGTCCTATTCAGATTTATTTGTTTTTATTTCATATTATTTTGTTCTGTTACTATTTGGATACCTATTTGGTTCCTAATGAGCGATTGAAAGCTTATGTGTTCAGATGGTAGGGGAGGTGGTGAAGATCTCAGAGGAATTGGAAGAGATGAAAGAATATCAGAATATATTGTATGAAAAAATATATTTTCAAAGAAAGAAAAATTCAAATGTAAAATTTAAAAAACATAAAATAGATAATGCACACAAAGTGACAAATGTTATCTCTAGGGATTACATGCCTTCCCTCTAAAATTCAGTCATTTTAAATGTTCAAACCATGGACAGAAATTCCAGTTAATTTAAATTTTATTTTTACAATTTTAGCTTAATAGAAAGAACATGAGTTGGAAGAGGTTTTTTTTTTTGTTTTTTGTTTTTGTTTTTAAATGTGGAAATGGAAAGGTAAGAGTAAATAAAAGTCATGCAGGACAGATTTGTGGGTTTTCATTCCATTTACATGATCAATGCACTGTTAAATACTTGAGGTTGTTTTATTTTTTATAATCTTTGAAAATTTCATACATGTATACAATTTATCTTGATCGTATTCATCCCTGCTCCCTCCAACTCCCCATAAACTTACACACACTTCGTTCTCCGTATTTCATGTATTTTATTAAAATCCCACTGAGCCCAATTAATACTTTTCATATGTAAATAGTGTGGGGTCACAGACTGGGGCATGGGAAGCCTAACAATGGCCATGCACCACCAACATGACTACTTTATGGTAGAGTAATATAAAGTGCTTTCAAAGAATGGAAACAGCTATGGCCGTGCTCTGTGTTTTAAGGGAGGTTTTCAAACCCTCCAAACACATAAGACTTAGATAAATATGTGATTTGATGAATCAGAGATGAATAATAATTATGTGTCATAGGTACGTTGACAAACTCCTTTTTCCTAAATTATGAGAATTCACTATGTCCCAAACTATGCAAACTAAATGAACACAAATTTTGAAGACATCATCTGATTGTTGAATGCATCCAAAACAATTTATCTGTTTAATTAATTTTTGACCAAGAAGCATTTCAGCAAAGTAGAAGAATGTGGACTCTGAGGCCACACTGGGACTTTGAACTCCAGTACCCTGGTTAATGATGTGATGAACGTGGGCAGACTGAGTGCATCGTTTCATTTTCCTCCCAGCAAGAGATCATAATACCCTGTTGCCTGTAAGGTTGATAAGGCATGCAGAAGCTGCCATTTAGGAAATATGACTTAGTAATTATCATTTATCTTGGCAAAGCAGGAAAAGCTATTGTATCCTTAGTGCATTATCTAACCACTTTAGACATATTTGCTCTTCTGCTCACTACTAAAAAAGTAAAAACTGTACTCATGAAAATTATAAGGTTTGTGTGAATTTTCTTAACAAGAAAAGACAACCTGGCCAAAGCTCATGGAAAAAAAAACACCAAGGGAAAAAAAAAACAGACTAGAACAGACATGAATATACTTATATTCCTTTTTAACCCATGTTCACTTTGCTGAAGAATTATTTCAAATTCAATCTTGTTTTATTCTATCTCCACCCCATGTAAGTGTGATGCATTATATTATACATGAACCATATTACATTTTAATATCTGAAACAGTCTGAATTCCATACGTATCAGGTCCAAGCCTTCAAATATGGTGTGAGGAACATGATCCAATGATTTTCAGAATTTGAAACTTTTTTATTTCAATGATTCAAAAAGTATGAGAAAAAATATACCTTTAGTCATTTTGCCAACGAAATCCTCTACAAAAATCATTTGAAATGGTCAGTTTCTTATGATGTTTGGGGTCTGATCACTCACCATTGGCTGGATAACCTGGTGTGAGGGGGTCACCTGCACCATTAAGATTTAAGACATTCCCACGCTGGACACCACCTCCAGGGAGGTTCCAGCCCTCTGGAAAAGACTTCACCCCAGGAACAAAGTAGTCAGCAGGATCTGAGTACAGAATGACACCTTTCGCACCTGCCAGTTGAGCATTTTTAACCTAGAAGACATGGTGTTTCTTTTCTCAGTTTAGATTAACTTGCTCCAGACTTAGTTATGGCAGATGCCAAGATCACATTAAATAAATAACTAAGCTCTATCTTCTATTTTAAAGATCACGTCTCACTGAGTTTTCAAGGCTGAACTTGAATCTACTCTGTAGCCCAGGAAGACTTTGAACTTGTAATTCTCCTTCCTCAGCCTCTCAAGGGGTTACAGCTATGTGACACTAGTCCTGGATACTACTTCAAAATCTCAAAGGTAATGGATTTGCAGAGCTCCAGACCTGGACCATTCTCATGACAGTGAGAGTCGGGATTTGCTGCTCCCTCTAGGTTTCTAGAAGCATAATAAGCAAGTAGAATTCCCAAGCCAAATTCCTATTAAATCTATGTCAGAAGAGGAATATTTTGGCTTTTTTTTTACTACCTATAATAATGGTCCACATTAAATTTATTTTAGCAAGTCTTTGGAGATAATATTTAAAATAAAGTTACTGGAAATTAGTAGGAAATTCAGTGTGAGGGGTTTTGTGTTTCTTTTTAAGTCGGAGAAACTTGCAGGTACAGAAAAATCTGCTGTATTTGCTCTTGCCAATAAGGTCAGCATTGCAAGAACACAAGAACACAAATATGTTAGGTGTCTTCCCTGTAAGGTGGGAGTTTATAGAGTCAAGAGAATAATAATCTCAGAAAAACTTTAAGGAAATGGTTCAACATGTGTAAAATATATACAACATTTTAGATTAGGGCAAGAGATAAATATTAAAAATTTCATCAGCATGTACCCATCATAGAAAACAGTGGATTCATTAGAGCAAATTCACACATGAACATCACGTGCTTTTATTATTATCCTATAATTTCCTATTACCCTCTTCTTTATCCCATCATCCTTCCTGTTTTTCTCCTTCTTACTAACAAATAGGCCCCACCCTTCTATTTTCATGTGTATTTAATGATTTTGCTTTTTTGACTCTAGATTCCACTTATGAGATAAAATTGCAATATATGTCTTTTTTAGCTTAACATGTTGACATCCAGTTCATCCACTTTCCTGCAAGTACATCTTTTCCTTACCTTATTTCCTCTGAACACTTTCCCATATCTGGCGATCACAATCTTTCCAGAACAATTAATCTTCATGTCCCGTTCCAGTTTAAAGAAGTCTTCAGTTCGTGCATAGTTAACATACACTAGATCCCCCTGTTGAGATCAAGAGCAATTTAGTAGAAAATGTAGCATATGTAGGCATGTACAGATGAGGGACATCTGTTATTAAAATAGATACAGATAAAGCAAAAGCCCCCAAGAGGGTCAGGACAGATCAGTATCAAATAAGACATAGGAGAAGCTAGCTTAAATTGAAAATATAATTAAACAAGTTAAGATGCATATAAGTTAAATAATACATTTTCTTTTACCTATCTTTTACTGAGTAGCTATACAATGTAGAAATACCCCCACAGAATTACATTAGTATTCAAGTTGCTACATGTAATCTGAAAAAGTCCGGTCACCATGGGTTGACAGACCCTTGGTGAAAGAAAACTTTTTTCACTTTAGACAGTACAATCAAATAGGAAAACATACTGGATCTTCACAAACATCAGAGACCAAAAACTGGCATTTGATAGGTTTATTTCCAGTCATTTGTGTGATCATGCAAGCATACTGTCATCCCTAAGTCTCAACATTGTCATTTGTAGAGTCATTTTCTGAAATGTTTTTTCCTCTAATCTATACAGAGACATATTCTGAAAAGTAATGCACACATCCATTTATTTTGCACAGGAATCTAAAAAAATGCTCATTATACCTCTATGACACCAAGTGCCTGCAAGGAATATAATTTCCAACATACTATAAACAACATTTCAGAATCGATGACACAGCTGCTCATTTGTAGCTGAAGGAATGTAAATAATCATGCTTATCTACTACTTAACTTCTTCCATTTAAGAAATAGATGAACGCAATCTGAGAATGTAGCATCATGGTATAGTATCTACTCAGAATGTGCCCGGCTCTAGGCTCAATGAACAATACCACAAAAATATTAATTATGACCAAAGCCCCAAATCTACACAAGTATATATTTCTGCACTTTCACAATTTTGTCAATTTCTTTTTTTTTTTCTTAAGCATCAACTTAGAAACCTTTGTGACAGGCTGGCTCTAAAATACACGCCTAAACTGTTCTTCAGTGAATGCTCTGCTTCAAGTTCAGGGAAGGTTCTTCAAAAGAATATAAGAGCTGAGGATGGAGATACATACTGTGAAATACTGTCTCCTGGACACAATGGCTGTTGCATTCAGGAACTCAGACTCCCCATAGTTACCAGCAGAATATCAAGCCAGCCAAAATTCCTGTATAGATGGGTGAAGTCCCGCCCATTACTTAGAAACTATTAGCAGTTGTTAGCTGTTAGAAGAGAGGAAGAGTCATCCTCTCATGAACAAGTGGCCACTGGTAGGTTTCCCTATGCTCCAAAAGATAGTCCCACAACTGTGCATGTATGGGCAAGACTAACTAGCACTATCATCCAAGAGCAAAGAGATAAAGAAAGAGTAGACAGAAATTGAGAGAGAGAGA